TGCCCACCCCTTATCTCAACCCTGACTCTATGCACACTATGCATCCTATAGTCCACAGTCTATAGTCCATCTTGGGAACGAGCAGGAGATGGAGGCTACGTTCCTACAGTGAGAAAAAGGAGAATGAACGTAGCCACCCTCTAACAGGAAGTGAGATCACAGCAGAAAAAAACAATTTTGGAGATATGGAGGAGGCTGAGAGCAATAGAATGGACTTTTTTTGAGTTTGGAATACATAGAACAGAAATGATTTCTTTTTAAATCAGAGTTTAGTGTCATTGGAAAAGTGATATTTCATTGATAAGTGGATTCTGGAGGACTGCGTCAGCCCCGGGCTTCTAATGTATCTTTTATATTCCAACAAAGAGATCCTATTGATGTATAATATGGCCAATTTAGAAGCAAAGAGTGTTCAGCCATTGTGAGGGCTTATACACATAGGCTTTCTTTCATTGTAACAGCACAATATATTCAAATGTACCAAAAAAGATTTCTCCTGCGCTCCGGGACCCAGGCCGGTGGCGAGTAGATGGAATTAAAAGCTCCAGAGAAGCAACCACCGGAGTATCCAAGGTCGTGCAGCTCCAAACCAAGGCTGGGGAAGCCCGAACAAACTGCGAAGTGAAACAACAAGAAGCGCACCAACCTTGTGCATTACCTCAGTAACAAAAATTTATTAAATGAAGGAAAGGTACTCACAAACAGCGAATAAAAAATAGGCATGTAAGTCCACCAAGGGACTTCAAAGGTAAGAGGCCAGCGCGAATCCCATCATGGGTGTAGGTACTCAGTCCAGCTGACGCATTTCAAAGGTCATGCCTTCTTCCTCAGAGCTGACTGGGACTGAGAGTGTATGCTCCCATTTATGCCCACAGACTAAAATAGGACCCTCCCAAATGGGTTGGGCTGTCCGGGGCCGGGGGGAGGGGCCCGGGTGTCAACAAAGTACAATAAATAATCAATGGTCATCCAGATGAATAAAAATAATAAAATTAAAATCAATGAATATAAAATGTGTATAGATGGTAAATGATACATTATACCTTAAAAAGTGCAACTTATAAATACAATAGTAGAAACAATTTTAAATTGGTGTGTTATTAACATTAAACTGATCGTCGGATGCATACAATGTATATAAACTATAAATACACATACATAAAAGCTGTATATTATGTATATGGAAAATATATAAAATATATAAAATATATATACATACATCCATAGACACAGAGGAACCCGCACCATTGCATGAACCATACATTGTCTGTTAGTTCATACACAATAAGCAATTCAGCTAGAGAGTCTATTAGAAATGGCAGAATTCATAAAACTAATAACATTAATAGAATTGAATTAATGGTAGTAATAGCATTCATTAGTGTAATTTTGTATATGAGCACATGTGTGTAGAAGGAAAAATATAACATCCATTCTTATTACCAAGCTAGGGGATGTCTCATTGGAGGATTGGAGGGAGAGGATGGTATATTCCAAGTGTAGTTATTAGTCGGCAGCAGAGTGAGAGCTTGTGACCATAATGCAGAGGCAGACATGATCCGCCTGTGGATCTCTGTGTTTTTTTGTGTCTACTCGGCAGCAGAGGGAGACTCTGTAAGCCTAACATGGCTATAAACAGAAACAGGAACAACCTGTGGAACGCACGCCGCTGTGGAACGCACGCCGCGGCGTGGTACCTGGTGCGCATGCGTGAACAAATCCGCGCCTGCGCACAACGAGCGGCATTCTCACGATCACAGCAGATGATGCGCGCGCGCATAGATGAGGCGGCGCTGCTCGATCTCCACAGGGTCCTAGCTTCTCTGTCTCCCCACTGACTGGCACCCCACTGAGATGTATGTTAAGGGGTTATGGATGCATAACGAGAGTTGATGGTATTGATGCCAGGTCGTTAAGGCAATTGTCGATGTAATACCCAAACCCTATAGCTGAAGCCCATCGTCAGAACCCACAATAGGAACCAATTATAAAAAACACAATTGTAAAAAAACATCATTTTTTAAAAGAAAATATGCAATATCGTAAATTGAATGGATGGTTGAGTAAAATTGATATGAATTATGAAATAAAAAATAAATATGACATAATAATAAATATGAAATAAGAAATATGAAATAATAAATATGCAATATGATATATGAATGTACACAGACGCACACACATATGCACGCCCATAGACAATCAACACCTACACACACCTGTTTATAAATGCATACACTCTTATATATATATATGTGTGCATATGCATACACGCATGCACACCACCTGCGCCACAATCATGAAACATATCCAAAGCTGATGAATATCCAATAGACCTATACGCATATATATATATATATTATATATATATATATATATATATATATATACACATACATACACATACACACATACATGCATAAAAATAACCACACAAACGTACGCATACATGCCCATACGCACATGCACACATATACAAACGTACTAGACCTATCTATATAAATATATGTACACACCACAGTGGCAAGGTCATAGGTACTTGAGTGGGACATGAACCCAATAAGATACACTAGATATGTCTGTCGCTAACGGTAAATTAGATGAGTGTATGAATTTCAAGGTCATCATTTAGTCCTCTAGGGGACAAAGTACCCAATGTAAAAATCCAAAAACTCTCCCTTTTGGACAGTTCGTGGTGTCTCCTCCCACTATCCAAATCCCTAGTGATGGCCTCAATCCCAAAAACTCTCATACCAAGATAGTTGCTCGAATGCTTTTCTTTAAAATGGCGGGGGGACTGAGTATTTATCTCTCCCTAGTTTGATACTGCTCTTGTGCTCACTGATCCTGATCCTAAGGTAACGTGAGGTACGGCCTACATATAGTAAGCCACATGGACAAATTATTCCTTGTTGTTAAAAGTAACCGTAGGTTTTTTAGAGTTATGTTCGATTTCTGTGGAGACGGTGGGATCAAACATCCCTAAGTATTTTTGAAAGGGCCGTCTCTATATGACTTTCCTTGTAACCTTTTTCTTTAAATTTCTGTTTAAGGATATGGCTCTGTTCAATACTTTTAACAACAAGGAAGTTCGCTTCAGTACCAGATTCAGTAGTAAGCCCTGGGACATTAAACAAATACTGTCCAAAAATTGGACTATTCTTAAGAATGACCCCACGCTTGGTAAGGCACTTCCAGAGAAGCCTACGCTTATCTTCAGAAAACCGAGAGATCTGAGGAGTCAAATAGCGCCAAGTAGAGTGCGTAAAGCCACGACAGCCAACCCGGGCCCATGGTCAATTTTATTCGATCAAAAGGGTAGTTATAGATGTGGCATCTCGAACTGTGGCACCTGTGGGATCATATGCCATCGAAAACGAGAGTTCACAAGTACGGACGGGAAAAGGTATCCTATTAAACAATTTATAAATTGCGGCTCCTCATTTGTCATTTATGGCATAATTTGTCCATGTGGCTTACTATATGTAGGCCGTACCTCACGTTGCCTTAGGATCAGGATCAGTGAGCACAAGAGCAGTATCAAACTAGGGAGAGATAAATACTCAGTCCCCCACCATTTTAAAGAAAAGCATTCGAGCAACTATCTTGGTATGAGAGTTTTTGGGATTGAGGCCATCACTAGGGATTTGGATAGTGGGAGGAGACACCACGAACTGTCCAAAAGGGAGAGTTTTTGGATTTTTACATTGGGTACTTTGTCCCCTAGAGGACTAAATGATGACCTTGAAATTCATACACTCATCTAATTTACCGTTAGCGACAGACATATCTAGTGTATCTTATTGGGTTCATGTCCCATTCAAGTACCTATGACCTTGCCACTGTGGTGTGTACATATATTTATATAGATAGGTCTAGTACGTTTGTATATGTGTGCATGTGCGTATGGGCATGTATGCGTACGTTTGTGTGGTTATTTTTATGCATGTATGTGTGTATGTGTATGTATGTGTATATATATATATATATATATATATATATATATATATATATATATGCGTATAGGTCTATTGGATATTCATCAGCCTTGGATATGTTTCATGATTGTGGCGCAGGTGGTGTGCATACGTGTATGCATATGCACACATATATATATATATAAGAGTGTATGCATTTATAAACAGGTGTGTGTAGGTGTTGATTGTCTATGGGCGTGCATATGTGTGTGCGTCTGTGTACATTCATATATCATATTGCATATTTATTATTTCATATTTCTTATTTAATATTTCATATTTATTATTATGTCATATTTATTTTTATTTCATAATTCATATCAATTTTACTCAACCATCCATTCAATTTACGATATTGCATATTTTCTTTTAAAAAATGATGTTTTTTACAATTGTGTTTTTTATAATTGGTTCCTATTGTGGGTTCTGACAATGGGCTTCAGCTATAGGGTTTGGGTATTACATCGACAATTGCCTTAACGACCTGGCATCAATACCATCAACTCTCGTTATGCATTATGAAAAAGTATTTATAATGTTTTTATATTCATACACAAATGTTTTGCCTTTCATTTCTATTTTAAACTGAATGGGTTGTTTTACAAGGTGAGAGACTACATATACTTTATAAGGTGTTGGCTGGAGTATTAATTTGTTAGTCAAGTCTATCTAAATCTGCTAGTGCATCTAACACTCTCCCCAGACTGACAATGCTGCTGTCCAAAGGTGTCTCTGTTGCTCCTTCATCCAGAGTGGAGACACCCTAGGACAAGAAGTGTGTTATTACTGGGTTCAGGATGGCTTGATCTCAGAGGAAGTGGGTTGAATAATGCTGGCCATCAGGCTGAGAACATCTAATATCAGAAAAAAAAAAGGACTGCAGGGGAAAATATCTCGATTGAAGCTGAAAACTACAGCTAATGCTGGTTTTGTCTTATTTTTATTTGGATGTCTGCATTAAATACCCCTACAGTTGTACAATAAACGATCCTCCATTATTCTAAATTAAAAAGGCAGAAATACCTTGATGCCCTCGAGTATTCTTCACAACCACAGGGTACCCAAGAGGCTCTGCAGCATCTATCATTTTTGAAAATTCATCATGGCCACCTAAAACATCAGAAAAAGAAAATTTGTATTACAAATTTTGTTAAAAAAAACAAATCACATCAATGACTATACAAAAGAAAGATAAATTAGTGTAACGCTACCCCGCAGGAGCCGCTGGATAGGATGGGTTTTTTGCCTCAACCTCCTCACCTATGGCACACTAGGTAAATGAACACAGCTTGCAATATAACAGAAAAAACTAAAGGCAATACCAGGTACACAATAATGATGTTGTGTCAGGAAACAGACACCAAACGAATTAGTGAAAGCCAGTCCTAATATAATGTCACACACTATGATTGATAACAATGAAGTCAAAAAAGTGGACTCGAAATAGTAATAGTACAATTCAACATATGGTGTGATCAGTAGTCAGTAGTAGGTATTGGATAACACATGCATCAGGATCAGCATAAACAGTAGTAAGATCACCATAAGTGTAGCAATGGACAGTAATGTGTGTAAATTTACTGTATTCAGGAGACAATTCTGCCAAAGTGCATTAAGGGTGACTGTGCTAGGCCTGGACTAACTAGACATAGGGGCCCTTTATATAATTAGTAGATAGGGGGTTTGTAGAATGTCTTTATAGGGGGCAGTCCTTTGCTGTGTTCCTCTGCTGGCTATTGTTGGGGCCTGTAAGCAGCATTGGTGCGCCTAAGGACAGTCTTGGTGAACGAGCATACAGTGTACGTTTTGTGTACTAAGTGTCCTGCTTCCAGTGACTCAGTCTCTGCTATCAGTGTGCAAGTTTTGGGCCGTGTGCCCTCTCGCCAGTCCCAGAGGTGCAGCTGTAGTCTCCCACTGTAGGAAATGGGCCCCTTTGCCTCTGCGCAGATGGCTCCAGCTATCAGAGGAGAAGGAGAAGAGAGTGAGAGATCACTCCAGTCTCCTGGCACAAAGGGCGTGATGATTTAATCACTGCAGACTGAGCAGCACCGCTCCAGTGTCACTGCTAACAAGCCTAAAGCTCCAGTCCCCACCAGTGCGGTCTACTGCAGAGATGTGTGCACACAGCCATTCCACCACTCCCCCTCTCCCTCTGCGAACTGTAGTGTAAGGGTCCATGAGTCTCATTCTATAGTTGATGTTGCAGACTTCAATTCCCATGATCCCCAGCGTTCTGCATAGAAGTCCATATGCTTTCCTGGCTATAGCTCCCCCCTGCTGACTGTAGGAAATAGTGCAACAAAAAAAATGACTACACTCATATAAATTCATTTGCTCGAGAAAAATTTTTCATCCTGCTCCTCTGAACTTTCTCAACACTGTGGTCGAAAATGAACGTTGATTTGACCCCATTAATGAGCAGAAAATTGAATGAATGTTAAAACTAAAAATTTCAAATAAAATTCTACCAGTGTCTGGCCAGCTTTAGTCTTTCACATTTGATTGCATTTGAGACCATAAAACAATAGATCTCACCATGCCTTCAGTATTTAGGGTAAATCATTATCTCCTTGGATTGTATCTGCTACTACGTTATTGCTGTTTATGGCATCAGAGCCATAAAAAAATGTGCATTTAGTTACCACCGCCCTTTTAAAGCCAAACCCAAGGTACGATCTATATTACCTAGTCACAGTACATTGGGAAAGCTTGGCATACGTATGCATATCTCATACCTGGAGGGGGGCTCTTTGGAAGTTGACCACCACTATAGTAGTTGGCACTACTGCAGTACACTACACCAATCACAGGGAATTGATTGTGCGGCACTGCTGACATTCATTTATGGAACGCCTTGTTTTTTGTTTGTTTTTTCAGTGACTACAAGGTATTCTTTGATTGAATAATGTAGAGAGGAGGAGCAGCGAGTGATCTCTACATTGTCCATTCAGAAAACGCCTTGTATTCAGTGGAAAAAATACTCTATAAATGGCAGCAATTCCAAGTGAGCACCCCCTGTGGTCAGTCTGCAGAGGGGAAGCTGCTCACACAGGATGATCGCGGCTATCCTTGTAGTAGCCCTGACTACTACAGTGATTTCCAGTGGCCCATCAAGTATAAGATATGCATTGTGCTAAGATGGACCAATGTAATGTTCCAGGTGTTTAGCTTTAAACAGTAGGTTGTTCAGTGAATTAGTGGCTGTCAACAGGACGTCATTCAGCAAATGTAGATGTACAGTATGCCGTAAGCACAGCTGGTTGGCAAAGTCAAAAATATTACAACAAATGGATTTATAGGAACACTGAACTACAGCTCATAGCAACCAATCAGGTTTTATCTTTCACTGCATAACCTACACCTGGGAGATGGAACTTGAAATCTCATTGGTTGCTCAGTCCAGTACCTTTTCAACTGTGTTCAGAAGGTTCCATACGTTCAGGAGATCTGTCACATACTAGAGCAGAGTGGACCTGCCTGTGTGTTCTCATGAGAAAGACAAGGACGGGAGGCCCAGAACAGCCCAGAGACAGAATAAATAAACGTATAAAAGGTCGTAAGTGTTTCCATGCATTTTTCTGTTCACTCAGCACTTTAGAAACATTATCTGATGGCTCTCCTCACAAGATCAAAGTGTGAAATGCAAACCACCTCGCTGGCCCCTCTGCCTCCAAGCCATACAGCCATTACATAAAACATGACACCTTGGAAGACATTTTCCTTCTGCACCAGCATGTTTACATAAAAAAGTGGACCTGTCATCTGCACACAAAGGCTCATTGATGCTGAACTACAGGCAAGTATAACAGACACATTAAAGAAATATTTTAAATGCAACTATTGTAAGAGCCTGAATTTGACTTGTTATCGGGCTCTTGCAATCTCCTATACAGCAGCACTCAGACTGGGAGAGGGAGGGGCAGGGCTTGGAACCAATCAGGTGTGCTGCATACAAATGTATTGTCAAGGAACAAGTTAATAGAGGGTGTGACGGGAGTCACTTTGTGTGAGGGGCCCATAGAACCCAGCTCACTTTGGAGAGGTGGGGAGACCCCTGCCTCAGCTCCCCATATCCCTCTTATGTGTAAATCACCCTGTGCCTGTTAGGGGTACAGGGTGATCTGTCCTAATATTGTGTGGGCTTTGTTTCAGACTGTAGACATGTTTAGGAGATAGGTGGGGGGCAGGGGATTGTTGTTGTTTAATGTTATGTAGCTGCATCCCATTGTTCTGTTGTTTGGCTTGGGAGCAAACTATTATGGGATGTATATGTTTATGTGTATTAGCTTGGGGGGGGTGTCTCCAGCAGCCCTCCCTCCTGATGGGACTGTCTGCTGGTGTGAAGTTTGAATATCTGTGTGTCTCTTGTTACTAAATGTATATTGCCCCACCCTGTGTCATTATGCAGGGTGGGGGGATTGTCCCCTAAGTGTATATATCTTGTATCTGTGTTCAAATAAACTAGTCTACCTCTTGGTTTACTTCAAGACTGGTGTCGTCTAGTCTTGTATGGTCAGCTGTTGTGTCTGTTGTCGGTGTTCGGATGGGGAAGCAGTATTCTAACGGAAGTACTCAAGCGCAGTCTGGGTCGGTTCCGTTACAGAAGGATAGAGCAGAGGGAGCATAAAGAAGACCTCATCAGTCTCCTGTTGTTCCTTTTTCCATCAGATGTGGGCACATCAGGTAGAGATTGGGTATATTGCAACACAGTGTGAAAGGTAAGTGGGCGGCTGCCCCTCCTGGCCACGCCTTGCCCCACAGAGAGAGGACACCATTGTATCCCTTTTCCAGTCTCAGTGTTGTTATGTTCCCGGATGTGCTTTGTTATGGAGCTCTGTAAATTTCAGGACAGAATAGGCATGGATACCAATTATTTGGCACAGAAGTCAACTCCAATAGATGTATTTCATCTGTGTATTTCCTAGAGTTCAGCTTTAATGCCAATTTCCAGGGAAAACACAAATTTTGTTGGGGTAATCAATACAAATAGCTACAGTACATAAGCCTTTCTCAACCTTTTTAATCCAGAGGAACCCTTAAAATAATTTCCAGGTCTTGGGGAACCCTAAGCTGGCCATACATCAATCCAAATTCAGTCATTTCAGCAGGGACCTTCTGAATTTCAATCCAAGTGTAGCCACTGAAGTTGAACAGGAGTCATTCTGCTGATCTACTTCTGTTCAACTGCCCTGTCGGTGTTTTCTTGCTCGATCAGCAAAGCGGACAATAGGTTCTAGTGCTGATCTGCATATTCTGACGGTAAAGGAGTCTACCTGCGATCAGAATACAATGACACAGTAAGGAGGATTCACCCATCCACATCGAATGTGTGAATTGGGGAATCAGATAATGTTTTTCATACAACTGACCCGTGTACTATATGGCTAGGTTTAGGGTCTTTTCCCACCATGTCCACAGCACCACATATCTATGGTGAATATAAATACAAACAGTTGTTTTGTATGTGCTCTATTCACACCATACATGTGCAATGGTGTGCAGAAAAATGCAGCTCAAAAGACATGATATAAACAAGCCTTTTGGAAAACTAATTCATTGAAAATCAATGGGCAAAATGCCCCTTACATTGGTGGTAAGTGGAAAGAATGCAACCCTTACAGTGGGGACCAGAATGCCACTCTTAAGCAGGGTATACACAGACAGGTTTTTTTCATTCAACCAGCATGCTGAACAAGAAAAAAAAATTACAATGTGTGGTTCAGGGATCTGCAGGGCCCTGCAGCACTGTTGTATTTTGAATGGGGGACTCCCCCTGCCAGAATACACAGATCAGTGCTTGCAGCCATTGGCTTCAAGAGTTGATCGAACACTGGTTTTCTAGCATGACTGTTCAACAGAAGCTCATCATGAGACCGGCTTCTGTTGAACATACAGCAGAATACATGGACCAAAAGATTTTCAGTCCATGAATACCCAGCTTTACAGACAGCTAAAAAAAAAACAATTGGTGTCCTGCAGGCACCATCAAATGGGAGGTCAACAAGCAACAACTCAAGGAACCCCTAGTAACCTCTGCAGGAACCCTAGGGTCCCACGGAAACTTGGTTGAAAATGGCTATTCTAGATTGTTAGATCCTGAATTGGTCGAAATCAGATGTTTACAGTGAAGGGTAAAAGAGAGAGAAGCAACGCCATCTAAGTGCAGCAATATAAGCAAATAATTTATTCCACAAAATTGGCAACTCACAATAGTAGTAGTCAAATGAGCGTTTTTCAAACTGGTATCAACCGCTGTGCAACTCCTGGCTGGTTCTGCTGCAGAGAAGTCTCCCAAGCTTCTCTCTCTTTTACCCTTCACTGAGTCTCTTCTAGTTCTTTTTGAAACAGCTGCCACTGAGTCAAGCATTGTTGGAATATCCCTTAACCACCTTTGGACTTTAAGGACATTACTTGTGTGGTTAATATACTAGCCATCACAGTATACATCTGTTTTTTTTCTTCTTCTCAGTGCGCTAAATATTTCTCGTTTTCAGCAACGGGTACTGTTAATGCTACAGAATACAAAGATATTTTAGTCAATTGCTCTCTTTCAACTATATGGCAGCACTATTGGGAAGGCCCTTCTCTGTTCCATCATGACTGAGTCACTGTGCACAAGCCCAGCTCAATAAAGATATGGATTTATATGTTTGGAATGGATAAATCTGAATAAACAGAGCCCTGACCTCCATCTTACTGAACACCTTTGGGATGAACTGGAATGATGATTTTGGGCCAGGTTTCCTCATAGAGTGGAAGCCTCACCTGCGTTCACTGATTGTCTGTGCAGGTCTGAGCCATCAAACTGACAGGTCATTTCTACAGATTACACTGAGGGAGAGGTGCTCCTAATATAATTACCAGAGCTTCACTGTCAATGCTGTCATCTTGTTTGCTTATCCTTGTTTGGAGGTAACTCTGGGACTGGTTGACAGCTGTCATTTTTCCATACTGTATGTATGAATGTGCAAGTTCTATATGTAGCGCCCTCTAGCTTATCTAGGTAGGATTTTTGTTAGAAAGAGGCTGGGTAGCAGCCTGGGATGAGTCAGCCTGAGGAGTGAGGCAAGAGTTCACCTCAGGACAGGCTGGGAGGCTCTACAGGTCAGTGTTTCTGGAACCCTCCCACCCTTCTAGAAACTCAGAGAACTTCCTGGAAGAGGGGTGAAAGATGGGTGGAAGCCTAGATCTGCATGTTTAAAAGAGAAGTGTGGGTTTGATTTTTTCCCCAAATTATACTTACCAAGGTGGATGCAGCATTGGTCCAATGTTGCATCTGTCCCCCACTGGCTCTAAAGGTGAGAACTCAGCGATCACATAACCACTGATTGCTGAGTTCTCACTGCCACTGTAAGCAGAGAGCGGTGATTGCCAATTACCGCTCTCTTCTCTGCCCTCCCACGCTCACTTGAGCGCTGGGCTGTGGAGGATGAGAGAGTGGTTGGCTCAGCCTCTCAGCATGTTACTGAGCCAGGTGCTGCTCCGGGCTCTGGGGTGTATCCAGACTTTACAGTTGGGATCTTTTCCCAGCCTGGACTGTATGAGTGATGTCAGCTGACAGCGGACTTCATCCTGCTGTCAGCTGAAAACAGGTCACAGGAGTGCAGAACCAACTGCACTCCTGTGATCCACAGGAGAAGTACAGCCAAAAGAGCTTTGGCTGTATTTCTCCTTTAAGGGAACTTGGCCAATCCCCAGGCAGGAGGCCAGGCATGGTGACCATGGACAACCTTTAAATGTGGAAGAGCCTGAGCAGCAGGGGAGCAGGGTAGAAGATGGACTGAAGGAAGATGCTGGAGTGTGGAGCCTGGGAGCGGGCCCCAGGGAGTGCAGCCTACCTACAGGCTGGTTGCTGGACAGGAGGATCTTTACTGTTCCACCAGATGTTAGGGAGGACATCTTGAGCAGCAGGGAAGGCGCCAGCCCAGCGAAAGACCTGAAAGCAGCTACCAACCCCCTGGGCCAGATAAAGGGAGAGAGTGGTCAGGTGTGATACCTAACTAATTCTCATCTGGGACTGCTTCATTGTTAGATCTTGAAATCCCTTGCCCAGGGCTACCCTCAGTGCAGCTGGGTAGAAAGGAAAGATTAATTTGGGGTCTGAGGGGGTACACCAAGGGGACATAGAGTTCTCTAAAAGAGACAGTGCTCTATTTGCTATTTTCTGGATTCATATAATTTTGCACAGTGTACAGGTTGCTAAGAAGTTTGTCCTCAAGTTTACAGTTCCCTGGGAATCCCAAATACTAGACCCCATCCAAGTTGTTAACCCCTTAATAAAAAAAAATAAAAAAACGTCTCAAGCATTGTTTACTGACTACAACTGTGCAAGTGTGGAAAATGCATGTTGCTTGGCCATACAAAGCATAGGGAGACCCAAAACAAATCCAACGGCCCTCAAGAGGGTAGTGCTAACATATATATCTCATCTCAAAATGGCGGGACCCATTTTGGCATCTTTGCCTTGAGTGTCAGAGAATCCTGTCCTTAAACTAATGGCCATAAAAGTTATATAAGGGTCAGATATTCCGACTGCCAAATAATTCCTTCTATAACTTGTCCCTGAGCTAGCATGTTTGCTTATAACACATGAGCATGTAGTTTTTTTAGGGAATAAGGAGGAGACAGAGCAATTAATGACTATCCAATGTCTGTCGGTACCCTTTGTGGACACACAGACAGGTAGGTTCTTTAATTGGTTGGGATTGGTGTTTGTTTCTACAGTGACATACAGCATACCAAAATGTCCAAACCAGTGATAGATGTGTATAGAATCTGGAGCTGAGGCAGAAACGCACCATAAGAAAATGTATCAGGCAGCGGAATTCCATTGCCAGCTAACTCCTGAAACGTCCAGAATTTGTTTATGCAATTTAGAATGGCTTGAGGACGATTCACTAGACGACAGCCCAGTTTCTCAAGGTGTCGCAGAACAGTTATATCACTATCAGATTGCACGGTAGGAGTTGGGACCCGGACCAGTATCACCTGAGGGTAGGAGGTCACTGTCTTCTGATCAATCTGCAAGCCTGAAATAGAACAAGAGGACAGATGAAAGAAAACACGTGATCCAATTAAAAAAATGGAATATTGTTTAATGTGAGCTTTCATTTAAATGACAATATTGTTGGAAGTAATGCATGTAAAAAGCATGTATAGGCAAAACTTTTTTTAGTATGACCATGCCATAGTGCATGCCGTAAATTAGAGGTTGGATAAAAGATTAAAGTGGTAGTAAACCTTTACATACACCCAGTCAAGTGATTGACCTCAGGTGATACACAGAGATGAAACAAATCCTCCTACATAAATTGTACCTGCTTATCTGCAGTCTTCTTTTCTCTACATCCATTCAAAGTGCTTATTTTATAAAGCTACTGAGAATTTAGAAAAAAAGGGGTGGAGAGATCAGTGAGAAGAGCTCTGATTGCTGATTGAAAGGAAGGGACACAACCCCTCCATACAGTTTACAGGAACACAGCTGTTAATCTGCTGCAGATCCCTTCCCTGTCACCTTTTTTCTATTGGTGTCAGGAAAACATTTTAGAAGTGACATGCTGATATAAGGGGAATGAAGCAACAGAGAGAAATGACACTTAGGCCTGGATCACACCAATGCAGTTTGCGTTTTGTCCTTTTCTGCAGTGCTTGTTACGTTTTGCTTTTTTGCACACACATTTTTTATGCTTTTTTTTTGGGCCAACTATTTGCTTGGCAGATTATAAATGCAAAATGCATTAAAAATGCATAAAAATCACATAAAAAGTGCACTACATGCATTTTGTGCAGCATCTCGATTGAAGTCTATTGAACCAAAAATGTCCCTGACCCTTTCCAAAAACACAGCAGCTTAAAAACATAGATGTGAACCTGTCCCATAGGAAACCATGTTAAATGGACTGCAGTGCATCTCTGCAAAAAGCACTAAAAGCGCATTGGTGTGAACCAGAGAGATATGCTTTGTTCATATTTCATATCTGATGTTTACAACCATTTTAAATGCAGGAAAACTCTTTTGGTAATTAATCAGTATTAAAGAGTATTTTTAATACAGGGCTATACATCAGACCAAAAAGAGGAACAACTTAGAGAAAAGTAGATTGGAGGGCTTTGGTTCTGAACAGACCTTCCAAACTCTGATGTGCAAAGAGGACTGCGCTGGACTGGTGACCAACCAATAGGCTGTTGGTGGATATCAAAACAATGACTGAGGTAGGAGTATGTCTGGGGAATTCATCCCCAATAGTAGGCATTGGTAGTGTACTCAGTTGAGATCTTGGGGCACCCAGTAACAGATGATCCTCTCTTTTGATGAATTCATTTAGAACTTTATTGAAGAAGGTTACAGATGAAGCCAACGCATTTCCGTGAAACTGCCTCCCCCTTCATCAGGGCTCTTGATATGACACTTTTTCAAGTGGTCACACTTCAATAGGAGGTGACTGAATGCTGTCGGCAGTGCTTGTAGATTGCCGATATGTTTTAGATGCAAGGCTGCCTAGTATCCAAAACACACTGGCATTCCACAAGTACTGCTGTCAGCATTGAATCACCTATTGAAGCGTGACCACTTGACAAAGTGTTATATCAACAGCTCTGATGAAGGGAGAGGCTGATCCCCAGAAATGTGTTGGCTGTATCTGTAACCTTTATCATCTTCAATAAAGTTCTAAATTAAACCATGGAGAGAGGATGATCTGTTACCAGGCACTCTTTCATACTCACTGAAGTCCTAGCAAATATGAAACATTCTCTTCTATCATGATCCAGAATTACATAGATGAATATAGAGGGATTGTACATAGAGGTCACATTGTACATAGAGATTGCACTTATTGACCAAGATACTTTTGATTATTTAGATGTTAAATTTCCAAAGACAATTACCTTCTACTCACTCCCAAAAATGCATAAAAGTCTTACTTCTCCAACAGGACGCCCCATAGTATATGGAATTGACTCTCTTACTGAAAAGGCTAGCCCCTTTCTGGATTTCTATCTGTTACCGCATGTTAGTCAACTGCCTTCTTACATCAAGGATACTATTAATCTTCTAAAACGACTGGAGGGTGTCTATGTCCCCCCTGGTGCCCTACTCATGGTTATTGATGTAGAGGCTTTGTTCTCCAGCATCCGCCACGAGCAGGGCATCAGGGTGGTGGAGACCTACCTGTGTGAACAAAATCAGGCCAACTGGCCATTAAATTAATTAATTATGGATATTCTTAGATTTATTTTGATCTACAACTATTTCATTTTCTCTGAGACCCACTTCCTCCAGATTCAGGGGGTGGCAATTGGGACATGTTGTGCACCCTCATATGCCAACCTCTACCTGAGAGGTTGGAGAAAGAAATATTCACATATGATCACTTTGCCCTATATATATGACATCCATTCTGGGATGGTTTCGGTATATTGATGATATACTGATAACCTGGAATGGAACAATTGATTTTCTTCAAGAATTAATGAAAAGAATAGATGTAATCACTATAATATTAAGTTTACGATGCAATCAGATCCTTATCGGACCTCCTTTCTGGATGTGGAAATCTACATCCAGGAGGATGGATCATTGGCCACAACTAGAGATGAGCGAAGAAATGAAAAATTCGATTCGACTGATTCGGCGAATTCGTGGACAATATTCGATTCGAGTCGAATAAATTCGCTGTGAATTTAACTTAAAAAAGGGTGTTTCTAGGCTTCAGAGAGACTTAATATTAGTGCAGAACACTGTACCTTTAATTTAAATGCCCTTGGAGTCTGCTGGGGAAGAGAAATAATACTGTCTGTCAGTATGACATGCAGATGAGTGCCGTCGATCTTAGAATCACTGCACACTTCACTCCTTTGGCCAGTCACGGGGCCAAAACCAGCGTTTGGAGCCACAGTGTGGCGGTGGAGGCAGCAGCAATGGGAGGCCATACAGCAACCTATGACAAAATGGAAACCAGCAGGAGCGTGAGGAGACCTGAAAGTGGCACATGGCAGAGTGGGAGCAATGGGAGGCGGTACAGGGACCCAGGTCACACTATGGGCCCAGCAGCAGCGTGACCAGGCGGTACGGGGCCCATGGCCGATATGGGGCTTGGTGGCACCTATGGAAGGCCTGTAATCTGCCAGCAACCTATGACAAAATGGACAACCGCAGGAGTGTGAGGAG